TAATAATTTAATTGGTTAAGCACTGTGGGGAAAAAAGGAACAAATTTGTAAACAGTCACTATTACTGCTAATAATGCAAGACTCTCCTAGCAAGGATTGAGTTTTCTGCATGACTGGTGTGCTTATGAAAAAATACATACGCAAAAATTCACCTTTCTCTCTACCGAACGTCGATGGCCTAGGAGTTAGAATCTCCGCCTGATACCAAATTGGTCAGGATTTGGTCCCGCCCTGATACAAAAGCAAGTGGATGCCTAGTCACACTGATGAGCTGTGAAATGCCAAAACTTTCTGTCTGTGGATGACTATATATATATATATATATATATATATATATATATATATATATATATATATTTGTTAAAACAGACAAAGGATGTCTATCATGTTTTATCATGAGACTTTCCAAGCATCATATAATTGACCACATAGTCTCCAATAACCCTACAACCACACAACTAAATGATTTACAAAAATCCGATGTTGTGTATCAATTTATATGCCCATTCAGAGATTGTACCTCAGATACTAATAATAAACCCATTACAAATATTGGTTTTACTACAACCACCCTCTTCTGTAGACTTACTTGTCACCTTTCTGAACTTAGTTCCATTAAACAACATTTCTTAGAAAAACATAGCCATGTACATAATAATTGACAGATATTAGTTGATAACACAACAATAATCACACGCAGTAAAAAGAACCTTAAGATATTAGAGGAGATCTTCATTAAAACAAAGCAACCCACACTCAACAAAATTACATTTCCAACCAGTCACAACATATTACAATGCATTCAAACATATGATTCTGTTAATAACATTTCTTTCTCTCATGTGGTCATGTACGACGTCATTGAACCGCATTATGAATTTATGACCTACAACTGCTATTCTGCAACTGTTATCACTGCATAGCAAACTTCTATGTAAACAAAGAAGGATGTCATCTTTGATAGTGAACATCTCTGATGTAATGTCCATATAATGTCTGATGATGGCTTATGTGAGTTGAAAGCTTAGATCGATGACCAATGTCATAAAGAAATATCCAAATGTTGGAAAGTTTTTGTCTTTATTTTCTCTTGAAACTAATGGCATTATATGACACTTGGAAATTATTAATAAGTGACTGAATCATCATATGTGCCTGACAACTTGGGGAAACTATGAAACTATGTTGCATTATAAATGTAGGTATATTTGATTTATTAATATATATATATATATATATATATATATATATATATATATATATATATATATATATATATATTAAATATTATATATATATATATATATATATATATTTTTTATATATATATATATATTTTTTAAATATATATATATATATATATATATATATATTATATATATATATTAAATATATATATATAATATATACATATATATATATATATATACATAATATATATATTTTTTATATATATATATATATATATATATATATACATATATGTATATATTATATATACATAATATATATATATATATATATATATTAAATATATATATATATATATATATATATATATATATATATATACATAATATATATATTTTATATATATATATATATATATATATACATATATGTATTATATATACATAATATATATATTTTATATATATATATATAAAAATATATATAATATATATATATATATATATATTTTATATAATATATACATATATATATATATATTTTATATATTATATATACATATATATATATATATTTTTATATATTATATATATACATATATATATTTTTATATATTATATATATATACATATATATATATATTTTATATATTATATATATACATATTATATATTTTATATATTGTATATATATGCATATTATATATATTTCATATATTATTTGTGTATTTAGGCAGCAATCCTTCTTTCATGCACATTTCATTGAATACGACAGACAAGGTGCTTTTATTTAGTTTTTTTATAATATTTCTCATATGATCTAATTATTTTTTTTCTTTTCAGATGATAAATTATATAAAAACTGTCTGAATGTTCTTTTTATCCAACCACTTTCAGCTATACATTTAGCCATTTTCAAGGATTAAATATTATAACTGTTAAATAAGAAATAGTTTGTTGTATGTATTTTTTATAAAATGATTCAATGAAATATTTATATA